GGGGGTAATAGAATCGCGCACACTAAATGTAAAAGAACTAAAGATGGGTTTCGCATGGAACTTGTGCAACCCGCACCCTTCCAAAATGTATAGATTGTATATAATATTTTAAAGTAGGTCATGTACCAGATAATGTGCTGCTGTTCTTCTTAGAAACATGACATAGTTTTGTAAGTATTGATCATATGGGTATCGAATTAAGTATGTGTTCCACTAACATATTTTAGCCCTGTGGTCACAGAGGATAAATGGAAAGAGGGGAGTTGTGACTGCACCAGGAGTAAGCCTTAGTGTCAACGGCAACAGGCAGCTCAGAGAGTGAGGGTGTGAGTTCAAGGGAAGACGAGGAGAGGTGCGAGAGAAAGCCGGCTGAGAGTCAAAAAAGAGTTGGCGTTACTGAGAGCGCACAACGCCTGCCGGGTAGGCAATGCGAACACACGCGTGCACAGCCGTGCAGGGGGTTGCCCAGCCGTCGGGCTGAGCCCAGACGGAGACGGGACGCGCCCGCCGGCCGCCGGCCGGCCGCTCCACGCGTTGCTGACGTCGTGGTTCTTTTTACAACACACTCAGACCTGTACTGATTTATTTCTTAGTAAGCACCCACGTTTTTATGCAGCGGGAATTGCCGATGGCTGTTTTGTTACTTATTCTGTGTATATTTTTGTAAGTAAGTTACTGATAACAGGAAGAAATTGTCAATAGAGTAAAAAGGAATTATTTCGTATGAGTGATGGAAAATTTGTCAGTAGATTGTAAAAGTTTTTAAACAGCAAATATACTGACATAGCGGTGAAAAAAAAAACAAATCAGTAACAGGATGAGAGTAAAAGAAACTACTCTTTTCGAAAAGAGTTTTCTTTCTGAAGATTTTACCACCTACTCCATCGTTCAAAAGAAATTAATCTGCAAACAAGCAAAGAACAAATCTTGCGCTGCGAACCTATTCTTTGTACGCGTGTTGCATTTTGTACAGTAAGCCACACGTGAACCCTTGCACAGTGGTCTGCCCTGCAACACACTGGCACACTGTAGCATCGCACCATGCAGGGTGGGTGTCCTTAAGCAAGCAGTACTCCGTTCTTTTTCCTGGTTCTCACTGGTGAAAAGTGAAAAGGGCGTAAGTCCACGGACTTCCCATTGGACTTACGGTCTTTTCACTTTTTACCAGTGAACTGTACCGCATGCCGCGCAGCAGGTCTACCGGGCGGGTTTGGCTCCCGACTTTCGTAAGCCGCGTGCGAGTATGCAATCTGTCCGCACGCCTGCATTCGGAACATTAAAACTAGAAAAACGTACGGCTTAGGACACACTAAAATAACCCAACAAAGTGATTAGCACACGGTTCAAATAGTGTTCTTACAGGCACACTGATTAAACAGGGTGCTTAGATTTTCAGTGCAACCACCACGTATGATTTCAATTAACGTCGCGAGCAGGTGTATCCCAAGAACGCGAGGATGGGCATGACGGCCAGTCCAGGCTAGACGCACTCGTTTTGGAGCGTGGCGTGGCGTTCTCTCTGGGGGGTCATGACGGCGGGGCGGGGTGCGTGCAGCGACGACAGGCCATGCCTGCCATGGGCTCGGTGCGATAGAAAGGCCCATGAGAGGGCCACGGCTGAGAGTAAGGGAGCGCGGGGGGGGGGGACCATCCTGGAACGAGACACCGGTCACCAGCCGTGGGCTGCATCCTGAATCAGCTTTGGGCATGCTCTCTTCCCTCCTCCCTTTCGCCGTCTGCTCCTGCCCCCCCCCCCCCCCCCCCCCCCCCCCCCCCCCCCCCCCCCCCCCCCCCCCCCCCCCTCCCCCTTTCTCTCTAACCCCCTCTCCTTCTCTCTCTCTGTACGTATCTTGCTCTGGCCGCCTCGCTCCCTCTCGGACTCGTTTCGCACGCGACCCAGCCCAGCCCGGCAGCTAGCGGCAGCCAACCAGAGCAAGCGCTACACTCCGGCAGGATCAATACTGGTCTGCCCCAGCGCGGCCCGGCTCGGCTCGACTCGGGCGCGACTCGGCTCGGCTCGCGCTGCTGGCGGAGCGCGGAGCGGCGCGGAGCTAGGCCCCTCCGGGTCGCAGACGCTTTCGGCTGTGTGTACCGCGTGCCCCTCCCACGCCTGGCAGCGGCGTAGCCAGAGCGTCAGCACCCTTCCCAGAATTTAAGCGAAAAAATACAATTAAGGGCTCGATGCTGAACTGGCAGGGGGATTTCGTGGTATAGCGAATTCTACCAATGTGAACTATAGAAGAAGTTTCCACGGGAAAATTTTCCATGAAAATCGTTACAATTTCATATAGTAAAATTTACATGTTATCATGTCAGCATGTACAGACTTTGTTTTCTTTTACGAGAAATAATGGGCTCACGTCTCGGTTGTCGTAAATGTTACTACATTGCTTTTATTTGAAATCACGACAGATTATGCAAATTTACAAAAGAATACGAACGAAATAGGTCAATTTGCGTTTATATTTTTCAGCGTGGTCCACTTACAATTGCCCAACTTCCCCGTTAAACACTTACAAGTGTTTACCGACCGAACACCAGATTTATCAGTGTAGCTCGTTTGATGAGAAACTCGGGGCCGGTTGGGCTGGGCCCTGGGTGAGTGCACGGCTAGCCCTGCAAGACCATTATAGGCACACCCATGCAGGACCCTGCATCCGCGCAGCTTACGAGCAGACCGTGTTGTGGCTGTGCGGCTGGGCTGGGAGGGGCACTAGAGCAGCACCAGTACCAGGAGCGAACAAGGAAACTTGCGGCCCTGCAGAGTCGAGCCAGGCTCAGCAGCCAAAAACCACCAAAAACAAGTTTGACGTGTCTACACCGGTCTACACCATGGGTGCATTCTAAAGGCCATTTACCAGTTTTTAAAGAATATTTTCCAAGGGAGCTTTATAGTTCCACTTTCAAGGACTCCCCGTGAAATTTTCAATCAAATGAGACAGTGTGTGATGATTTTAAATATTTTAATCAAGCTCGGAAGCCTGTTTCATGTAGGGTCGTTTGATTGGAAATATCACTAGGAATCCGGTGTTTTGATCGGAAAATAAATTAAAGAGCTGATTTAAAAATATTCCAGGAAGACGTTAATGTGCACACGGTATACCCCTGTAAAAATGGGACAAGTGCGCTATCGCACAGAATGCGTCTAGGTGTTGCCGTGTTACTCTTATTTTTCCAGTGATACTCTCAAAATCCACAACAGTGGACGATTTCTTGGAAATACATGCATGAACGAAAAACAAATGAACTCACCTCTCTTTCATTGTTTGCGAAGGCAATACCTAGGTTGGGCATCGCCCTTAAAATGGCGACGAGTGACTGAATTGTGTTGCTGTAGACCACGGGTCGGTACTGCTTGAAGTCTTCTGATGTGAACCCGCTCTCGTGGATAATCCTAGAACACGAAGGTCATTAGTATTAGAGATTGAAACAGCAGTGATATGGGCTGCAGTGATTTACTAACATCACATCTAAGAATGCCCTTATCTCTACTCGCAGTTTTCTTTTTCCCTCACCAGCGGGCTCGTTTTGGTTTGCCGCGACCTGGAGGGCGAGGTGCGGTGACACATTTTGGTTATCGGCACGTTCGTCCTCGTCAACGCCCCCCCCCCCACCCACACACACCTTGTCCGAGCCCCATTCTTGCTGCACCACGAACACACTACAAGGAGGGCCGTCACCCACCTCTTCCCCGCATAAGACACAGCAAAATCGTTCAAACAAAATTAAAATAAAAACTCCACCTTTCCCAAGATTTTTCTTAATGTCTGCAAAACACTTTTCGTTTTGAAAGAATAAAACATTTAAAATTCATAAACACCCAAGAATTATTTTAGCGATTTGGAGAAAAATATGTGATGGGCATAAGCTTGCTCGTGCAATTATCACACTTTTGGGTTTGCAGTGAGTATTTTGTCTCACACATGCGCAGCTTTGTGAATAATTCATCGCACACTTGTATTTGAGTTGGAGGCAAAGCGAGTAGACGATCCCGCAAAAATGCGGTGTTCGCAGTACATTTGACTACTTTCCATGCACTTAAAAAAAATGTTTGCAAATGACTTTGCAAATTTAGGTTTCAAAGTTGCTTTTTCTTCGTAACATAGGGGAAATAGTATTATGCTTAAAACTTCTATCCTGGCGATGCTATGATTTGAATTTTAAACACCAACTAAAAACAGGAACGCAGTAACATGGTAGCAAAGGGGAGGACCGTTAAGTCTCTCAATCTCTCAAAAATATTTTGAACTTCCGCTTTCTGAATACAGGTTTTTGTTTTAAAACAAAATGCTTTTGTTTTGCTAGTTAACAACTTATCTTCGACTGGGAACAAGACATTTTTTTGAAGTGCACGACCTCTCTACACTTGAAACGCAAGTGTGCACACTTCAAGGTGAATGAATATCCATTTTTACTCTAAGAGGGTTAAAGGTGTGAATTTTGCCTAGAAAATTTACAAGTTTAGCCCCCCCCCCCCAATGTACGAATGAATATTCACACACCTACAAGTGAGCGACATTTACACACTAGCGTTTCCAGTGTACTGAGAGAGTACGCCCTGAAAATCGTTTCCCTTCAACAAGAAAAAACTACCTTACTATTAAGAAATTTACAATAAATATAGGGACTTTGCCTAAAATAAATATAAGAAACGTTTTACTTAACGTAAGAAAAATTCACCTAAAATCAAGGAAAAGTCTTTATTTTAATGGTATGTTGACTTAGACAATAAAATTTCTTTCTAACAAGGAAAATTTTTGCTGTTTTTTCAAGGAAACGCTTTTTTGTGTGGAGATATGAGTTTGATAGGCTTTGGCGAGTGTGATTACATGCGACACGAATAACGAGGGGATGGGGAGGGGTGCTTAACCTACAAGAGGCTTCCCCCTTCCTCTGGGCCGATAGGGACATAAGCACCCTATGCTGCTGCCGAGGGCTTCTTGTAAATGCTTCGAGAGCTCGATGTCACGTGATGCCGCGAGCCCCGGCGCGCCCCGGGAGATTCCCTCTTGGGCCCAACAACAGGTGAGGGCGACTCGTGGAACGGAGGGGGGGAGGCAAGAGGGTTTGCGGCTCGCAGCGAAGGAAGATTTAACAATCATATATTTGCTTAGAAAAAATTACTTTGAAAAAAGTATTTCTAGATTCATTACATTTTTCATAATTTTGATTTAGTGAATAGTTCAAACTTCCCCGAATCCCTCGCAAACTTAAATCCTGAGACTTTTCTCTGAATCTAAAACCCGGGGCACCCTGAACAGACTCAAGTATTCGAAGGAATGATGAGTGAGCAAACTTTTTCACAAATGTGAAAAAATCTTTAAATGTATCAACAATAATGTTGGCCTTTTGGTAGTTTTTTTTTCAGACGCACTTGATTTTAATTGTCAAAATTTTTAGTTATAATTCCGCGAACAGTTCACTGAAAATCTGACACGAGACTGCTCTTTTAAGATATAGTGGTCCAAACCGTCCTACTTGTTACAAGAGTGGGGCAAGCGTTGTTTAAGTTCTTCAATAGCAGGAATTACTGTATTCCAATTTTCTAAGCAGCAGGACGATGAGTAACCATTCATACACCCAGAAAATTGCACCATTGATTTCACGAATACCGGTATTTCGCTTCCGTTTGTTCCCAAAAGGAAGTTTTGCACATGATCTAAAGCAAATTATTTTAATTTCAAGTCAAAGTTCTTTGCATTAACGGAATTATTGTTAGATCATGTGCAAATTTTCTTTGGAACAACGGAAACGTTTATAAACTTAATATTCGTGAAATCAAAGGTATAATTTTCTGGGTGTACGGTGGAGCAAAGGACATTTGCACCCATTATTGTAACCAGTATGTCTTACTTTTAAACTTGCGATTTGTCAAAAAAGTAATTCAAAAAGACAATATGGCGTATGACAGTGTTGCAGAGAGGGACTGTTGTGTAGCAAACGAGAAGAAGCCCTGCATCGGCAGACTGACAGGTCACCAACAAGTGTTCTGGCCTGTCACCCCATGCCCACCTGTCCCTACCCCACACCGGCTCAGCCAATTCAAGCCGATTGACTGCTCAACAACAACTTAAGACAGTGTATCGAACCCGGAGGTTAAACGAAAGTAACGGAAAAACTGAATGGAATAGAAAGAAAGGTACTTACTTCATTTGTTTCACTATAGTACTTTTCCCCGATTCTCCGGCACCTGAAAAATGGAGCAAAAACAAAATTAGCTCAGAATCTACTAAATCGAATGCTATTCAGAACATTGATCCAAAACTGCTAGACGTGTAATGTGCGAAGCTTAAATCGATATCATAATTCCTCCTCACAGCGACAACAGTAACGTTTATATGGGGACACTGAATGTGCGGAGAGCTAGCCGACCGGAAACACCAGCCCACGGAGGTACTGAGCCGGTCGGCCAGCTGCGAACCGCCAGCGTGATGGTATTGCCGTCGTGAGGCGATGTCGCGCGCTCCTCACGGCGCCAGATTACAAGTAATAACCACAACAGAAAAAAAAATCGTAATCCCACACTTTTTGTGTTTTGAGTTGCACGAGCTCGAAGAGGAAGACGATGTTGAATGCCTTCGCAAAGCTGGGAGGTGAAGCGGTAGCTAATCGCTCTGGTAGAGTTCATCCTGACTTCCTCCTCCTCCTCCTCCTCCTCCTCCTCCTCCTCCTCCTCCTCGTCGTACTGCGGCAATAGTCCCTCGGGACCGCGCACCGCAAAACGGATCCAGCTCAGCTAGCCAGCTCGCCTCTAGCCAGACGGCTCTCCCACTCCATTGATAAATGCACCGAAAGAAATTTTCGTTTAAAAAATGAATTTTCCCCCGTCACTTACATGATGACAGTCGCATTGTCAGCAGTGACGGCAAGGTGGACACACAGTGAGCCGCGCAGTGAACACCTTACGAACAAGCAATACTGTGCAATTACAAATCGCATGTGTTGCAATACAAAGCAGTTGCTTTGCGAAGCAGTTACAATGAACATATTTTGAACGACCAAGCCGAGCCGACATATGCTTCGCACCTTTACAAACTTTGCTTGTAAGGATTTCACAGTGCACGGGCGACGTAAGCCGAAGCACCTTGTTCGAGCCCGTGCCCCCTCCGGTTGGCGCACAAGTCTCTCGGCCTCATCTCCACCAACAACGACAGTCATTCCAGTAAAACGTATCGTACGTTTACAAAATACATGCCCGTGTCAGCTCATGCAGCGATCGGGATATTCTACAACGGTGCTCTAACACTGCCGTTTCAAATGAATGACAGCAAGAAAGAGGTACCAAAACCCACGCAAAGTCGTAGTGGCAGTGTATAGTCAGTAGGCTACTAAAACCTATGGGGACAGTTTCAATGCCGATGATATGTCGGTGGTTCTTTTAAACATTCGAATGTTTTCGATCTTTTCATATGACAGGTATCTTTCAGAGGGAACCACAAGTTTCAATTAGAAGCTCGCGGTCGCAGTGTTTTCTCTTCCTTTCTTAACGGTGTAGATTTGTGCTTGACCCCCAATGTCTGGTGGCACCTGCTGGGCAGGGCCCCTGTTGTTGCAGAGCTGCAGGAGGACAAGTTGGAAGTTGGGCGGCTGTGTGAATGGCGTCCAGCCCGCCCACTTCCCTCCCATCGTCGGATGAACCGGCCATTTTCAACAGCAGGGCCCGAGAGGATGAGCTAGCGGGGGTCTGGAGGGCGAAAGAGG